ATTTCGGAAAAGAAAAAATGCAGTTTTATTGTGTTTATCAATACCTATCGAAATGTAGAAGAAATTTTTCAAATCGGACCATTCGTTAAAAAGTTATGCGTGATCAAAGTTTCTATTTCCATCTCCCTCGCACTCCCTTTACCTGAGTAACGGGTATCTGATAGTCGGGGCACCCGACTATAGCGTTCTCTCTTGTTTTTCTGCTGCATTGGTACCTCTTTTTTCGCCACTCCACTCCACTCCCACTTTGGGTAGCAACCTCAACTGGAATCCGTTCACTCGCTTGACATTTAGTGCCGGCTGCTGCTGCTGGCCATGTCTTGGGGTCTTCGATGGGGACTGAATCGGAGACTGGGGCAGAATCAGGGTCCGAGAAAGAGACAGCGGCTGAAACTGAGACTGGCGCTCTTTTGCTCTTTTGGCGACGACGGCTGCTGTCTGGAATTTCGTTGAACCGGTTTATGTGTGTGGTTTGCCAGTGGCTGCTGTGGCAGTTACTGCTATTGTTGTTGGCGTCTGGGTAACTGGCTCCGAAAATACAAAATACTTGCACAGCACACGGCTTTTTGTGCGATACTTGGCTAACCAACTGGCCACGCCGCACACACACACTAACAGGCACACAACAACACTCGCATAAACATGGATATAACACACAACACACACATAAAACAGCGCGCATATTTGTCGTTGCGGATTATTTCATAGCACAATTCTCCTCCACTGAAAGCAATCGGGGGTGGCAAAGTGGGCGGTGATGGGCCAGCAATGACCATGCTCTTCCATTCACGTTGTTCTAAAATCTTCCTTTCTCTTTTTGCTGATTTTTTCGATTTTAGCTCTTTTGCACAGTTTGGTTGGCTGTTAATTTACATTGCAAAAGTTGTCATTTGACGTTATACGCAATTTGCAATTCAATAGTTTATAGATTTTGGTATTGTCAGTAGTATGTATGTACTCTATAAGCTTAGATGTGGGCTTGGAGTGGGGCTGAGTGGATATTGTTGTTGGTGTCACACATGGTTGTAAGTAGGTAACTGGAGCTAACCGTTCTAAGGAGGGGTTTAGGATTAGGTCATATTGATATAGATATTGAAAGCATATTAAGGCATGCACTTTAATTTGAAGTTAAGCAAGGGAACATACTCCTATTTTAATTTGGGGAAACGTGTTTTGTCTTTAAATGAATTAAAAGATTCTTATCTTTTTTCTTTTTATTGCAGATTCTACAAAACAACAGATGTAAGTACAAAACTATCAAAAACCAAATAAAACAAAATTATAAATAAAATATCTTGCAAGAAAGTTCTTGTGAGCTCTCCATAAGCTTTTGCCTCCGTGTCCAATCACTCAGTGACCAATAGTTTGGCATGTGCCAGATACAGAACTTGTCTGCGGTCAAGTCTTCTTGTCCGATCGATCCCATCCCCTCAACGTCGACCATTTGATAAATCTAATCAGTTAAAATGCATCCGTTCAGTTCAGACAGGGCAATGTAGAAGCCAAACATTGTTCGAAATTTTGGTATTGGTTCTATGATATGTTTAGAGCTCGAATGATGCCCACAAACTATGCAAACCAGCTAAATGCGATTGGTTTTCGGGTATTGGCCACATTTCACTACCCAACGAAAATTGATTCCAATGCAAATTGATAATGAAATATGCGATGGAAAATGCATTAGTATAGACTCTGTGGCAGCATTCTTATCGCTGCTATGCCAACACCCGATGTTTAACCCGCGCATTTCCACCCCCTGATTTGGTCATTAAATGCTATGCGGCAAATAAATGAAATGCGGTTAACACAATGACAGTGCGATTAGGCAAAACCATAATGGACGAAGAGATGCGGAAAAAGGGAAACGTTGGGACTAAATGCTGGGAAACGCGTCCTTTTTGGTGGGCTTTTGTGGTGCAGTTGCTTCTGGCAATGTGGTTGCTTAAATCATAATCCACACACATGTGTTTGTCTCAACAGAAGTCAAGTTTGTCTGTTCCAACCACAATTGGTCAACATTTAGTGTTCTGAAAGGAGAATGTATTAGTGCTCCGAATTCAATTTAATATTAAATGCAGGAGAAGTTGTAAAGATGCAATTATAAAGACATTAAACAACAAAGCTTTGTGAAGTGAAAAGTGAATCCATGTCAATCCAGCTTTTCCACATTTTGCAACTTTTAATCACATATGTTACAAATTCAAATAAGTTACACAGAAATACTAACATATTTAAATTGAGTTATCATCAAATCAGGCAAATCAAACAGATACTTATTAAAGAAGAATTTTTCATCAATATAATCAATATTCAGACTCTCAAAATTATTACAATGAATTGACAATCTCATGATTTATTCAATTTTATACTGAGCAGAGCAGATGACAAAACATTTCATAGCAATAAATCTCAATTGGGAAGTAAGTAAGAAATACTCGCACAATAAATAACAGTAATTATGCAAGAAAATGTTCAAATAAAAACGAAATTTGTCGTCGTCCTTCTTCGACTTCCTTTTATCCCCGTTCCATTTCCCTCTTTCAATGATCCATAATTGCTATTAATTGTGCTTGAGATTTGCATAGCAAATAAATCTAAGAGGGAAAATGCAAAACATAAATTCAACAATTGCTTGACACTTGAGCAGAGTTTGAAAGTTTTCTCGGCCGTTGTTACTTGTTGTTGTCGTCGCTATTGTCGTTGTCTAAATTATTTAGCATTGTGTAAACTTGTTCAAGGTTGAATAGGCATTTATATCGAATGGAAATTAAATGGCAACACAAGCAGCAACCTCAAAGAAAAACATTTGAATTACATCGAAGACAATTCGAAATGCCAAAAGGCAGCCAAAGTTTGCATCGATTGTTTTTGGTCCAAGCTCGAAATCAAATTGTGCCAAATTACTTGGCCAGCAAAGAGCTTGGGCTAACCAATATTGTTTCTATCTCTCTCTGAATGTGTATCGTCCTCTTTGTCTATGTGGCTGTCTGTGGTCCAAATGAATAATTTGGCATCGCAGATAAACGAAATCAATGTCCACGGCCCGGGCCCGAAACCAAATGGCAACATCTGCACATCGCGCTGGATGTAGGGGCCATCAAGGGGTGAAACGGTTTCTGTGGGCTATTGGAACCTCTGGGCCACTCTGGGGAACTTGTTATTGAATTAAAGTGACTTGATTTACGGTGCGTTCTGGTCAAAAGCTCTTAATGGCATTTGCCACGAGTCCAGCTACCCTCTAACTCTCTAACCCGTTCGGTAAGGTCCTTTCTCGTTTTCCCCGCCCCTTAGCACCGATTCACCCATTTTCCAAAATTAAGTTTGCGCTCTCTGATGCTATAACCGTCAACGGTTCGTATGCGTGATATTAAGTATACGACATGTTGCGCTATGCAGTATATATGAATGATAGGGTTGTTAGTGGTGCAGAATAATAGTGTTGCAACTGACCATAAAATTGTTAATATGTAACATGTTGTGGTAGTTAATATACATATAATATACATATAATTAAGGAGTTACCTTTAATTTGTGAGCGTACTAAAATCTAATTTAATGTTAAAATTGTAATGTTTTTTTTAATCTGGATATGGTTTAGGCAAACTTCTTCAACAAGGATCAATGTATACTAATTAAGGATATAATTAATTGTAAAATAAACTGATATTTACAACAAACTTGGTAATTGAAAATAAGCCCTTAATGATGTGGTAATAACTACGTAATCACTGCTATCCGAAAATAGTTCCACTGTTGACTAAATAATGCATAATTGAGACAAATTTAATCAAAAGTTAGAACAAAATAATTTCACGCTATCACTCATGCAGGTTGCCAACTTTTGTTTGCCATAGTTTACCCGCCCCAGTACTTGAATGCTTGTTGTGGCAGCTGATAACATGGTTATCGTGGTTGGACTCATTGTTTTTCCCATTATTGCGGGTGTTTCAAGCGCACACAAACACGCGTAACTTAACTGAATTTATCTAAACTAAGGCGAACCTTAAATGACAACAGATAGCGCTAATAATTTATGCATGCTGCATGTTGCAAGTGGAAGCCAACATCGGGAGCCACCCACCACCCAACCACCGCCCACTTCCACGCTTTATCTTGTAGTAGCCACGCCTCCTCAACCGTCGAGCAGGCACCACATGGACACAGGCACCCGCACACGCTGACAAGGCTGCACATAATTTAATTAAAATGAAATCTCGCACGGGGCGCTGAACTGCAAACTGTGAATGCAAATTATTATTAATTACAGCAGAGCGACGACAAATGTTTATGCCCGCCATATGTGTGCCAGTCGCTCTGTCCCTGTCTGTCTTTGCTGGCGTTCACATTAGAGGTGCTCACGTGAGCAAATCAAATCGTCTTTCGCAAACGAGAAAATCACTTTAAGCCCGATTCACGAAATTAATTTTTTTTGTCGATTTCTCACAAGAGCAAAATAAGGAAAGCCGAAGTCATCAAGTTTCAATCATTATACATAGTACTTAATATCTCATCTTAAACTATCTTTTTATGAATATAACTTTTTGCTAGTGTTTTTTCGGATTTACTTTTTGTGTCACGCTCTCATATCCAGCATGATGCATGCTTGGTAAGACACAGCGGCGCCATCTGTTGACAGTTTGTCGCAAAAACAGCTTTGGTTAAGTGCATGGGTGTTTATGTGCGGTAAATGAAATTAAGAGAAATCTAAACACATTTGCTGGCCATTTATCCTAATGCCAGCTACTTTGGCTTTCCCTGGTTCTTGCTGCAACAGTTCTTTTTTCCACAATTTCCCATTGTGTAAACAAATTTACCTGCATATTAATTGTAATTGATTCTATGGACTACTGAGCCATAGGTTGTGGTTTTTATGCGTCAATGATGTGGATTTGGTAGGCTTCTCGTTCACAATTACATTTATTGTTTACACAATATGTACATATATGTAGCTTTGTCAACAACATCAGTAATAGTCTTTAAATGTTTTGGATTGAATTCAAATTAATTAAAATCATCAAATAATATTAGAGGCCTAACTACAAAAAAAGGAAAATATTAAAATTAATTATGTATTTTCTTTTTTATGTTTTGATAACTGATATTTTTGCGAATAGAAGTTAATAATAAAGGGGAGTTTAGGGACAGTAGCAGTAGATCTCGATGGGCTCTTCTCGGGCGCAAAAGGATTGTTCCCTGTATCGGTCCGTCCGCGTTATAGCTCCTTGCAGTGAGCTGTCGTTCTTGGAAAGAACGGTGGCATCGAAGTGACCGTTTCCCGGCTCGGTCACCAGACGCACGGTGATCGTTTCGAGAATGACTTCTTGCTGTTTTCGCAGGTAGGCATCCTCCACTTTAAGCAGCTCCAGTTGCTGACACTGCTTATAGGGTAGCAGCAGCTTATTGATACTCGCCACGGCAAACTGAGCAATCCGATGAATGCTGCGGATATTCCACGGTATCTTAATGAATCCATCGCATTCGCAGAAATGCAGCGGTATGCGGGCGGAGAAGCAGCTTCGCTCTTCGGGAATGGGCAGAAATAGAGAGACATTGTGATTGTTTCGCAATCGCAAAGTACGGTTGCGAATCCGCTCGTCGCCGATGTTTTCCAGGTTCACCACATCCTTGAGGGTCTCATGGATATCGTATGTGGTCACCAGGCGTTTAGCGTTGGTGCGAAGATTTGCCACAGCCAGCGGAAATCGGTGTTCTAGCCACCGCGGGTATATAGCCACCATCGTTGGCAGCGAGGTCTCTCTCATGCCCTGGAAGGTTTTCACAAAAGGACCAAAACGAAGGCCATGATCGGACAAAAGCAGGACCAAGGTTCTTTCTAGGATTTTGCGCCTTTCCAGCGCTCGCAGGATCAGATAGTACTGCAGGTCCGTCTGTTCGCCATACTGAAAATAATCATGTACGCCCATCGTCTGCCAAAACAAGGCAAAAAATCCACTATCGAAACATCTCGCCTGCATATGCGGCAGCAATCTATAGATGAAGTCGTACAGAACATGGTGGTAAACTCGATCGCCACTGCAGGTGATCTCATCTGGTCCCCGCGCCACATATTTGGTATTCTTGTGGATCTCGTTCATCACACTGCGCAGATAAAAGTCGGTTGGCCTACGCTTAAAACCGGGTTTTGCATAGGTAAAGGTGCCACCAACGCGTGAGTCCTCGCCAAATATTGTTGCATAACCAGCCGCCTTGAATTCGTGCCACAGAAGGTGGCATCGGTCGTAGTTTGCCATTTGATTTGCCCCAAAGCATCCGCTCAAAGCCTCCAGTTCATCCACACTCTGACCGCTCAGCAGGGGCATCAGATTCGGATATGAGTTTTCCCCGACGCGATTGTAGCCCCACAGCTCGGTGTGCGGCAGTCGATCCAAGAAGTCCATTACTCGACTGTAAAGACGGAAACATTATTGCTTTATTTGGTTGGAGTCAGCAAACTAGGTTTCTGTTTAAAAATAACTTTTATAAGAGTTTTCTAAATTAAAATATTAATGTCTTCGTAGGAAAGTTATTTGGTGGCGCTTTGTCTAAATACATTCAACGCAATACATTTAAAAGCAAATACTTACGTAAAGTAACGTTGGTAGTGCATATGGGAAATGGAGTCGATGCCCAGGATCAAAACGGAAAGGCCCTTGACGGTTTCCAACTTTGCAGGCTTACTTTTCGGCGTTTCTGGCATTGGAAGAAACATCAGGACGTCATGATACACTAGACGGCCATAGTCCAACCAGCACCAGACCCGCAGAGTTATATTTCCCGACTTTACCTCGGTGAAATTACGCCACCTGCTGAAGCGAAAGACGTTCGATTCCAAGTACTTATTGTCAAAGTCGTTCTTTCGCACAAAGCGTTTGTAGGCGCAGGAGATTTCGCTTATCCTTCGTACTTCGATCTTCTCCCAAAGTTTTCTCCGATTTGCGGCCAAATATAGGTAATTTCGACCGCCTTTAGATTTCGGCACCATCAGCCTTATCATGTAGCACCAGTAAATGGGCATGTGCGTCATATGGTACATCGCGATGGGCGAAAGCGGATCCATGGAGATTATCTGGCATTGTGACGTGTTCACGAACAGCCCTCTTTTCTCCTGCTTGCCTTCTAGGGGCGGCTGGATTTCCTCCTTGGATTCAACAGGCTCTCGGTAGTGTTGCAAAAGTAGCAGAAACAAAATTATGCACACCAGTACGATGTTTAAGCCGGTCTTTTTTACCTCAATCAATAATAGGTTATAACCCATTGAAGAAATTTATTTTCCGGCTTTTTTGTTGAAGAAAGAGAAAATAAATATTTTTTTCAGGGGAAGTCAAATTTTTGATTGAGGTATCTAGATCTAGTTTCCATGAATTTTATATTATCAATTGTCACAAACAGATGTTTCCAAGAAATTTGTCGAAATGTTATTTTTGTAGAATTGCTTTAAAATGCAAACAAAATGTAATTTTTTTGTTTAATTTTTGTATAATTTAAAAGCAACACAAAAGCAATTGTTAGAATCTGTTTTTGTCCCTCTTAAATTCACATTTTTTCTCTTTTAGTTTATTTCTTTTAAAATATTATCACAGCAAATAAAAAATGAATTTAATTACGAGTTTAAAAGTCGAATATATAATGAAAATAATCGGTGACATTTTCTAGACATAAAACAATAACTTTAGGGTTAATAGTAATATTTGAACCTTATTTTAATGACGGTTATAAGTTTTCCAGAAAGATTATTGGCCCAAAAAGAAAAACTTGTAAATTATTATCATGGTTTGATTGACTTTAAACTTGGTGCCCACACTCTTGCTGCAGTTTGTTCTGTGTCAATTAGCATAGTTAACAGTTTCAGTTATTTCGGCCTTTTTGGCTTTGTTTGTGTTTAAGAAAAAATTGAAAAGAAAAAATTTAAACAAAGAACAGCAAAAGGGTCAAAACAAAGACAAAGTAATGAGACCCCGACAAGCGTTCAGTGATTGAGTTTGTTGTCGGGCTTTTTAATTAGGCTGGCTAGATTGGATTTTGCATTTTCAGTTCGCTCGCTATCTTTCTTAGTCTCTTTCAATTTGTAAGATAAGACTAACGAGTTGCTTTTACTTTGCAAAAAACTCTTTTCACTAGAAAATAGTACATTTAGAATTGTCTGATAAGAAAAAAAATACATTTTGACAATAGTTTAAATCAAAAGAGAATTTAACGTTACAGACAAGAAAGTCTTCATGTTTTATCCTTTTGGAGCATTTTATTTCAAAAATTAAAAGTCTAAATTTTGCTGAATTTTTGTTTAAGGTGTCTTTCTTCAATCCAAGCGAAAGTAATCGGATCTATTTCACAAAATGGGAATTGTGTTTCTCATTCAATTTTCATTCTCGTCTTCATTTTTCTCTTTGTTCTCTCATTGCTGGAATTCTTTTCCGTAAGCGAATTTCGCTATGTTGTTTTCTTTAATTTTCCGAGAACGGAGGCCAAAAAGCGGCGGCTTCCTGCCTTCCCGTGATCCTTTTTCTTTGCAACCCTGTAGTCCCCTGCTCCAGCAGCTTTCCTTTCCTCGGTCATGTCTCGTTTGCAGCATCCTGTATCCTGTGTAAAACATATGCATACATTTTATACCATTACAGCATAACAATATTGCATTTGCAGAAACATTTCTCTCGCTGGCCCACAACCGCTACCCTTTCGTTTTGTTTTTTTTTTTTTTGGTACCTCTCCGTCTCTTTCTCTACCGCCAACTGTCTTGCGTTATATGAATCCACCGTGAATCCTGTGGATCCTAGCGACCTGCTGCCGCCATCCGTTGCCTTCACCCACGTTAGCTTTGAGTTACGGTTTCCATGCGCATACCCTGTAAATATTAAGATGGTAGATATTGAATTTTCAAGAAGATATCCTCGAAGTGTTATCGCATGACAACATACAAATGGTTTGTGGCCTTAAACTATACGAATAATATATTTTGAAAACTTTGGATAGTTACATTAAAAAACTAGCTCTAAAATATTTTCTTTTATACCATAAACAATTTTACAGGATATCTCTGGATTTCCACGGCCCCTATACTGAACTTGTAGCTTGCCGTGATTGTTGTTGTTTTATTTCGTTGAATTTCAGTTTCAGTTTTTGGTTGTGGGTAAAGTTTTTACCTGTGCTTACGCCACCCACCAGCATCTCTCAACTCTTCGACTTGTCTCCGCCCGCCCGCTGCCTGCTCCAATTACTGTTTGCATAGTTGAGTGTCGTCTGCGGAAATTTGTTTATTTTACGCGCATTGCGTTTCGCCTCTCCTCGGTTGGATAACCATCCTGCCTCGCCCTTCTGTCGTCTGGATCCTTGGCTTCTCCTTTTTCGCCGGAATAGAAGGGGCAGGCAGCACAATGAGACATGACGACGGCGTATCCTACGACCGATTCGCTAAGACAAACTGACAGTTAAATGCGTCAGACTCGTTGCAGATTTCATTTGGCGTGAATTCTTCTTTACATTTCCCCCCTTTTTTTTATGGGTATCCTCTCTTTTTTGCCAATGTATTTTGCATTTTTGTAGCTTTCGTTGACATTTCCCTCGGCTGCGAAACCTTGTGCATTGAGCAGGTTTATAGCTTCCTCTTCTGCCACCGCCGTTGCTGCTTCTGCCAAACGGTGCAAGTTACAGTCGCAGTTACCGTCAGAGTTGAATACCACCACCAGTTCATTCCCCTGCTCGACAAAAAAAAAGGTTACATCAAGAAATGTCAGACACAGCCGTGACTACCAAAAAAAGGCAACAAAAAACACAGAAAAAAAAACAAAAACGAATCGTGGGAAATGCCAGGATGAAGGCGGAGGACCGTTCACCACTGCGTATGTGCAATAAGTTGCTCATCAAATTGCGTTACGTATACGCACACAACCGTAGAAAGCAAACCTAATGAAAATGTCGTTGAGGCTGTGGATAACAAAACAGTTTGTGATTAGATGTTTTAGTTTGTCCATATCCATTTAAACTGTTGCCTTTAAAAGTAATTGAAAAACCAGAAGAGAAACAAACTTCGGCCAACCGATTTATATACATTTCAACGTATATACTCGTACTACCCACAACAGAAAGAATTAAAAAGATTTTTTAAAACAAATTACAAAAAACATTTTTAGTTGAACAAAAAAAATTGAGTAGTCCATTTGTTTTTGTAACTATATTTTCTTATTTATGAATACAACTTTCTTTATTTAAAAAAGAAAGCCACTTTAAGGTCAAATCAGATTTTAGACAATACAAATTGGATGAGTTGGCTTAGTGCAGCATTTGATACGATTTGACTTCTCATCCTGAACCGGAAACTGAATGGATACATGGCAACGGACACACAATTCGTCCTCGTCGTTAAGAGTTCGAGGAAGGCTTCAATCACTTGACATGTTCAGCAGTCAATTTGTGGATTGCTGGGATTGCAGCTCCTCCTTCTGATTTTGCTCCTAATACTGCTACTTTTGCTTAGTGCTCATCATGTGCCTTAGATCCTACTCGTTGCTCCTCCTCCTGCCATTGTGGCATGTTGCAAGTCCTTGTGCCGGCTGACTGGCCAACCAGAAGAGACGGGTCCAGTGTGCAGTTGGCCTGTGGCCAGGTATTCTGACCTGTCAGAGGAACTGAGCATATGAGCATCCGTCCGTGGGTGGAGGTTGCTGCTGTGGTTACTGCAACTTCTAAACCTGCTGATTCCGCCTCCTCGCCTGCCGTTGTCCTTGCCAACAACTATGCGTTGACAGCGACTGCCTCGAATCCTTTGCCTAACTGTGTCCTTAAATTAAAGTGGATTGAGTTTGAGGTAAGGGACGGGGGTTTGGGGTGAACAGCTAACAAGCCGATCATCAACCCACATGCGGGGGCTAAAAATATACCAGAAAACACCTAAGGGAAATGATTAATACAGTGTCGAAAATATGGGGCAAGGGCATTTTGGCACGCTAAATAAATATTAAAAATTTGTATTTGTATTTACTTAAAGATAATTATAGTTTCAGTGAAGATATTCCTTTTACCAATATAAAAGTTAATTGAAATAGTTTGAAAACTAACATATGCTAAAAATAATATTAAAGTTATTCGGTTTTATTATTGAACTTTTTAAAAATTGTACCTCTCTATCTTCAAAGATATATGAAATGCAGTGGTTTATACTTTTAAAAATATTTAGGTTAACCTAATACTCAGCCTGAAAAAACCTAACATTTCCTTTTGAGCGTTGCTTCTGTGCTTGCTGTTTGTCAGGCTACAAAATTACTCGGTCTGAGAGAAGTTTGGGCTGGAGAGGGGTTTACACAGGACCAACTTGCTGCCAATAACTCAACTAATTGTCGCTGCAAGTGGTCCCCCGTCCCTTGGATTTTCGCCCACCCTGCTGGCATAAAAATGAGCTACGAATTGTTAATTTCGAGCTGCAGCTGAGCAAAGAAATCGTTTTGGCAGCCAGGCGAACGCAGCCGAGTGGCAGCATTATTAAAGCCTTGTCAGCAGCAGGAAAAGCAGTGGCAGCAGCAGCCGCACGTGGCGCAAATTGTGGCATAAAACGGTAGCAAAGACACCTGCTGGCTGGCTCTGCATATTAATAAGTTGCTTGGGCCACGCTTTTCCCGCCACCATAATGTATATTTCCTCCTGCTTCGGTTCGAGCCAGGTTAGTGGGTTGGCTGTGGCCCAGCTGGCCATAGTTGGGCATTCATTAGACTCGTTGGCCAATTGCTGTTGTTGCTGTTGGTGCTGCCGCCGTTGTCCAACGGTGCGTATACGTTGTCGCTGCTGGCACTGCGGCTAGTTGAGGCCCCCACGCTTTAAATCTTGAATCATTTGCCCAGTTATGTAAGTTGCAAATGTTTCTTAAATTGAAGTAAAGTTTTAATATTTATCCACAAATACTTTTATTATTTTAAGACAATTCAATTCAATTTATATCAATTTTTTCCGGAAACTCATCTCCGTTTATAATAAATTGCTTAAAAATAATAAGCTCAAGTGATTTTCCAAGAACAAATTTGATAATGGAGAAGGTTTTAATACTTGTTAAAAAAAAACTCGTGCCAATTCGTAGTTGACCAAATTTACACCGAAATCCCAATGGCTTTCTTGTGTTCTTACCAATCGAAGAACACGGGCGCTAATGGCCTAAGCTGCATCTGAATACGCAGCAGCTGAAAAAAGAAATGGCGATAGCCTGGCGACAGGATGTCTGCCGTCTGCAGGAGGACTTTATGTCTGACTGTCCCCCTGTCTCTTTCGGCCAGTCCTTTCAACTGCATTGCCGCACTGCTGAACTTGAGTTGGGGC